ACCCCATGCAGTGACCCCATAATAGGGTTATTGAGGGCCACAAGTTTATTAGCCTTGGGCAATTAGGTGCCACTCTCGTGAAATAATGTCTTTATTATTATTATATACAGTACACCCTATGAATACCAAAGTTGACATTGACATATAAACTGAATATATTCTAATAATATACTGGAAAATGAAGTGATGTAACCATATCATGTCAACACCTCTCTGGGGGGGGGGGGGGGGGGAAGGTTTTACAGGCACCAATACCAATAGCCCAAATCAATAAAACTGGGTCCTTTATTTTGAGCCATTGTTTTGGTCTTGTCTGTAATAGTTTGTTAATTCTCTTGGTTGCAGGTAGGATGTATGACAAGAATGGMAACTTTGGTGTTCAATGGTGGACCAATAAATCTGTGGAGGGTTTTGAAGTCAAAGCAGACTGCTTGATCAAACAGTATGACAAGTATAGTTACTACGGCAAACATGTAAGCAATATACTGTWTAAGAGTTTTGTTTATGGTGGTGATGTATTCCACTTTATGGRGAATGCCGACAGACCTTTTAACTGTTTTACCATTTCAGGCTATATAACATTCTCTTGAGTATTATYTCTTTATTTACCATGCTTCACAAGATCCTTTTTTTTTTGCAGGAAAAAGGAAAATTCACTCTTGGAGAGAATATTGCAGACAATGGTGGCCTGAAAGCAGCWTATTTGGTATTTGATCTCTAGAAAGATGGATCATTGATTGCTATAGTTATAAGACTGGAGATCACCTGATTTGGGCCTTCTCATCCTATCTTTTTCCCTATTCCATCCAATCTCATCTTTAAATTCTACCATTCATTTCCCATTTAATGTAATTTATTMATCTCATACATCCTGCCATTTTTCTTGATCCCATCAAATTTTATCTGATCCTCCATCCATTTCCCATCAAATCTCATTCCCATCCCATCTTATATTCATTAACCATCTATCGTTCCTTTTGTCCAACCTTACTCCATTCATCCTTTCCATTTCTTCATTTTATCAATTCAACCACCCACCCACCCATCCAGCCTTCCTTCCTTCTTTCCAATCCCACCGCCCCTTCATTCTATCCCTTTCTGTTCTTTCACAGGCTTATCAAAACTGGGTAAAGCAAAATGGGCAAGAGAAAACCCTGCCAGTCTTGGGAAAGACAACTGAACAGTTGTTTTTCATTTCATATGGTCAGGTCTGTGCAACAAATTATCTTCGCTAACTACACCAAGTTTAAACAGACTTAAAAGTTACACCCCATAAAAAGATGTTTACACAATTTTGGCTGTTTTCCCCTTTCAATAGCGCAGCACACTGATTCTAAAAATAGCTTAAAGATTTGGACAAACGTTGCATTCTGTTTAACCGCTACGAGGATTATACGAACCGATTTTATTATTTTTACTTAAAGTTACAATAATAACCCATGTAAACTAAGATCAACTGCGATCGGCTGTGAAAATTATCTGCTGAAAGTAAACTTGTAAGTTTGTTTGTCCGAATTTCGCCTTTGCCTTCGTTTTTATGACGTCGCGGTTGCGCTGCGCTATTTAGAGTGTAAATATGGCTGTCAGTCATTCTCTGCTAGCGCTGCTCCCCTTATGAAAGATGACCAGCTGACCACTGAAAATACCTTGATTGACATGGTTTTATTGTTCATTCAATGCAGAGTTGGTGTGCCAGCATAAGACCAGAGAAAGCAAAAGCAATGTTGGAAATTGATCCTCATTCTCCAAACAAATTCAGGTAAACTTTAAATCTTTGAAATTACTCT